CTGAGAAGGATTTGACTTTTTTTATTGCTTGCCTTCCGACTAGAACTATATGACTTCTGGATTTGAATTTTGTAGTAGTGGTAACGTTTTTAAACCCTACCAGTGGTTAGCAAACTAGGTACTTTAGGAGTGTATCAGTCGGCAATCGAATAAGGTCGTCGCGCTTGGCTGGTGAGTAGTCTGTGGTTTAACTGACAACCCATTAACTGATGTTGGTGACATTATAAATGTAACAGGAATACGCGTGTTTTGATGAATATTTATCCAACTTGACCGGTGATGTCACACGTTTCACGAACATCTAATACACTACTTCAACCTTTGATCTGAACTGTATCGGTTGGGAACAGTTTCCTCCTCATTACCAAGGTCTTATTTTAATGGGGATCTGGTTACCACTTAAATTGACATGTAAATTTGTTTTACTTCAGAACTTAGAATAATTCGCTGAAATTATGACTACAGAAATGTATTTATGATAAGTGTCGTTAAACATGGGGTTAGTGTCCATTGACTACGAACTTCCAACTGAGTTGCGCATTTCTTCTACTGGCTATTTTGAATACTATTATTCTTCTTACATAACACAGTATAAACATTTCTCATATGTGAGGAAAACGTTGATTCATGCAAAAAACAAATAATTCATTTCACGACTTCATGATGAATCTACACAGGTGGAGTTGTGTATGATTAAAGAAATAGGTGAATTTGCTAGATTCCTTAGTCAATATACATGGGATAAAAGATAATGAAATTAAGTTTTACCGAAATAGAAACCGAAATGATTGCAATACAGAGAATATTGTTGAAAATTGCGAATAATTTTATGCTTTATAAATTAGGTGAAGTGTTGTCATGAAAGGAAGCTGTAATGTCTATTATCTATGTTAGTTTTCAGTAGAGTGAAATGTGTGTTTCAGAGTGGAATAGTTTTACTTCCATATGAACATGGTAACACGTTAATTTCCTGTAACTTCGCTAGGTAGACAGGCGATTTGTGTATAAGTTAACAAATATGATCTCAGGTTGTGTAAGCTTTTTAGTTAAACATGAAATGAACAAAGAATATTGCATAAAACCAAGCACTTAGACGAAGTTTAATGCTGATGCCAAAATGGACATGAGATCCTTACGGTCTCACCATTTTGTCAATTAAATTCAAATATATGCGAATATGTACTATCAAAATGCCACTCAATATACAGGCAGGTTGTTTCAACTCTACTACTATGTTTGGCGTGAAAAATAGTTGGCTCATTAAAACATATACAGATAAATCAGATAGTGACAGTCAATTATGTAGGATTTTAAGCCAAAGAAGATAATGCATTATTTCGTTGCACTGAGACTGTAACAAATGCCACAAATTGAGAAAATTTGCTATGTCATTAGGAGTATATCATTTCGATATAATAATCGAGAATTCCAAAAGTTTCTTTAAATGGCTATTTAAAAATATATGACTTTAGCTAGCTAGAAACTGTTTTTTACTTTACCATTTAAGGTACAAAGTTATTATTAATTGTTAGGTTAAAGCCATTTCCCTATCAGAACTGAACTAGGCATTAATAGTTAGTAGTTCGCCTGTGAACTGGTTACGTCTCATTTCTTCCGAATGAAGTCAGTTTACGTCACACATAAATTAAGTATTTCGGTAAGACACTATTCTGAAAACATAAAGGTAGAATAGTTTTCTCTAAATGGGATATTTTCACCGTTCAAAGTGACTTTTGACACTTTTTACACTCTGTTGTCAGATAAAAAGGATACTTGCCTGTCTTCACTGGGATAATAGGCTTGAACCCCTCAATAATATTGAAAGACTTCAACAGGTTGATATGAGTCATACTGTAGTGCATAGGACTGCATCACTTGACTGGATACTCATATGTAAAACTTCGGCACCTTTTGCATGTAGAAGCAATGTTTCACCTTCACTATTAAAGGATTTTTGTAAGGCATTGGGATTCTGCATAAAAATTTAACAGAAAGGTAAGTTGGTCCGAGAAAATCCGAATTTCTTTCTGTGTATTTGTATACTACTTTCTATGTGGAGGTGTTACCAGTCTATTTATTTCTAAAATATTTCGAATATTTCGAAACCGTTCATGGTTACATTACTTTCTGTCTTTTGTACATGCTGATATTATGGTATTTAAGCAATGAATTTCTAAAAATATCTAAGCCTTCGGTGATAATGACTAGAAGTAATGGTGTTTGTGGATGTGTTTTGCCACCTACCACTGTCTTTACAAAGGTATATTTTAAAATATAACTTTGCTTTGTTTTACAAAAATCTCTCATTCTGATGATAAATTCAGTTGTCTAAGAAAGAAGTTAATGATAAAATGTTTAGGACTTATCTTCCTATCGGGAAAGAATGTAATCGAATATGATTTCTTCCATAAAAGCGCCCTGTTCAATGCAAAAAATTAACTTTCGAACATTCACAACTCTTTTACATTTTAAGACCTTGAAATGACCGGCTACCTAATCGCCCCTGAACTAAACAGATAAAATATTTACTTTTTTTCAAAAAGCGCTTTTACAATTGTAAAATATGTATCTTCTGTGTGTAATATAACTCAGTTATTTTGTGCGCATTTATTTTTTACTAGTGGTATTCACTAAGAGTTCAAAGCTACTAACTTGGTGGAGCTTATCAGTTACCAGTCGAACTCAACTGTTAATGTGTTATGCAAGTTTTATATTAATAATAGTGACAACAAAGACAAAAAATATTAGTCTCCAGCTCGCTGACTGTTACTGAGTGTAGGTCCTGAAGCTATACTTAGAAGTCATAACTGGTGGAGTCCACCTTGTGAAGGTGAAATAGATGTTCATAAAAATCACTGATCGGGGATAGAACAATATTATAAATAGAAGTCAGGGAGTAGGAATTCCAGCTCAAGCAGTTAAATGCTCAACCAGACTGACTTCTTAACCTGAAGATCCTGAGTCCAGTCCACAGCTGAGCCGTGGATGTGCACTGTCGAAAAGTGCCCAAACTGGAAGAAAACAGCCGTCCAGTGCTCCATGGTTTTCACTGATCCCCCTAACTGGTGTTTGTTCACGACGAAGTCTACATTAAAGCAAGCACAACGACAGTAGAAGAAAAAACTATCTTTGCAAAATCCCTTGTTACCATGGTTACACACAAGTTATTATTTTAGCAGGTGGACATATTCTCGTTAGTAGAATATGCACTGTCAGGTCTCTATAACAAATGCCATGAAGTGAGGGCTCTAATTATTATCATTATTATTGGGGGTGAGGGGAATAAAAGAAGACATGTTTTCATCTGACAAGTTACTGGTTCCGTGCTTAACTTTCGGTGTACTTTACCATCGGAGATATATAATTATTTCTCTATATTGTAGTGTTCAAAAATGACATACAACCTGAGTTCAGTGAGCAAACTCAATACGTATATACAATCAGTAAAGAAGAAAACAATTGAATATAAAGCAGCCGCCCTTATTCTTCATCTGAAGGCTGTCCCTTCAGAAACCTTTATTGGTTTCCGACTTCTTTGACCATTTTTTAAAACACAATTTTTGACAACTTTGAAACCTTTGAAAAATTTATTGAAACAGGTGATTAAAAAAGAATATCCTCTCTTAGTCAACTCCTACTTCAACGTAACGTGTATTCCACATATTTTTTCAAAAAATTAGAGTAGTTTTTCTCAACAACATGGCTGCTTTTCATTAAATATTCTGAACGAGATCAACAAAAAAGTATTTTTGAAGCTTTTGACGCCGGTAGGTTATTTAATTGTTAACAATAGGAATTTGAGTATTCAGAATAGTCAGAATCTTCAGCTACTCTATAATTATTTTATATACGAGCGACCATAAATCTAGTCAACAGACTCTTAAAATTCAGACACTTCTATTATTTGTTTGTGTATGATATTTTACCTCCACCCTTCAAGGACAGTAGACACTATACAGTGGCTGGGTATATTATTCTGACTCTAATTGTTTGGCTCTGATTCGTATCACCATCAGACAGTGATTACAATGACTTGCCGAAAGTAAATAGAATTGACTTTCCGCTAACATACTTTTGCTACAGTGATTATTAGTCTTATACTGAATTGAAGAAAAGATGTTCGTGCATTAATTTTCAGTTGAAATGAAACTGTAGAGCTTGATTTTAAGCATTTAGAAGAATTCTAATGTGAATAGCTTGTTTTTAAAGAAAAAGAATGAATTTACGTCAAAATGGAATATTAATCCATGAATAAACGAATTTCAAGATTTTGTACAGGTAAACAGATTTATAATTTGGCTTTTAAGTTATTGCTCGGCTTTCCTAAACACAACTCGATCTACAGAAACAAATTCTTTTACAAACTAAGAGGAGACAGAAAATTAGACGCAAATGCCCACAGTTTTGAAGTTGCTTAAGAATAGACACATTGTTGATAATGTGAATAACTTTTGAGTTTGTTATAAGAAGAATCTGTCTTCATTTAAGCGTAGCATACTTCTAATTTATTCAAATATAAACCTACCGAAATTTGGACGCAAATGTTCTGATATTTTCTGATAGTAAAGCAGCATACCAGGGCTGACCTTCGAAAGGATACTGCAAATTTATTCAAAGAAGTTTGAATGAGTGTTTCAAAATTCTGATTAACTCATAATCATGTGAATTTGAATAGCATAGGACGATGCTTCATATTTTCGGCATCTAGCTATCATAGACATATAGTTATTCAGGATTCGCAACCTACACTTTAAAACTGAGCTAAAAGAGGCATGTATGCAGCATTATAAACTAAGTGAAATGAATGTCTATACAAAACATACCCCTCTGTGAAACGTTAAATTCGTGGAAAATGTTGCAATCTATTTCTGCAAGGCATCCAATATCTATTAGATTAGAATATCCATTCATAATTATATTTATACATATGTATATATATATAAAATTGATTGCAGACATTTTATATATTTCCTTTAATTCATATGCTTTTGATTTATTAGTAATTTCCTATGGAATCCAATAAAAGTTTGACAACTCCTGCTGGCGTTCGTCTAATCAAAAATATAGGCATACCTTTTCTTCTGATTATATTCATATTTGGATTATTTGGAAATGCGTTGACTGTAGTCATCCTTCGATCGAAACGTTTACAACAATCGAGTACATCTGTATATTTAACTGTTTTAGCAGTTGTTGACATATTTTATCTGCTTACAGGATTATTAGCTACAATTATTAATCACATATTTTTATTTCCTAATGACATTAAAGATCTTTCGCTGATTTCATGCATTTTAACACCTTATTTAAGCTATACACTGGCTTATTTAAGTGTCTGGTTATTGGTATCAGTAACAATTGACAGAGCAATATGGGTTGTACATCCATTCAGTGCTAAACGTATATGCACAACACGTAATGCTTGGTTGACTACATTCAGCTTAACATTGATTCTGTTCGCATTCGATTCACACTTCTTTTGGACTATGGATTATAATACTAGTTTAACTGATTCATATGTCAATGTCACACATCATAAATGTACACCAAAATATTTTACACAGACAATATTTCCTTATATTGACTTATTAATAGTATGTGTAATTCCATGCTTATTTATGCTTGTTGCCAATGGTTTAATCAGTGTACAACTAAAACGTATGCGTGATTTTCATAAAAAGCGACAAAATAATCGCTTATATTTAACTGTGACAACACCACACGGAGGAAAAAAGAGTAAAAATGTACTTTCAACAATCATTCAACATAGTCGAAAATCGAATGAAATATGCACAAATACTGAAATGCCAACAACAGTTGACGGTATACAATATCATAAAAAGCGGTGTAAATCAAATACATTGAAACATTGTGTTAAAAATTCAATTAAAGGTCGTTCAAATATGAATAGATCTTCATCACTGACAGCAATGTTGTTAGCCATCAATATGTTTTTCATGATAAGTGTATGTCCCTTACTTGTATATGACGTTATATTCTTTGCATTTAATTTGAACTCTTGGATTGAAAAAGACGAAGTGATAAGAGGAGTTCTAATCTTCGGTATCGAACGATTCGTCTATATTTTATGGTATACAAATTTCTCTGTACACTTTCTATTGTACTGTCTTAGCGGTCCACAGTTTAGAGCACAAGTTAAACACTGGTTTAATTCATGTTGTCGTTTTATCAGCTCACCTTATCTGGCAGATGAATTACCGTCGATAAAGGTTGCAGATTCTACGAAAATTCATCAAATTTGTGAAAGCAATCTACAGCACAGAGTTACACAATATAAAGATTTCACAAATAATTTGCCTGCCTCAACACAACAATATGAAGAAGTAACACAAGATCAACTGCAACAGTCTTGACAACTAGAAGTTCCAGAAGACAACCACCGGAAATTAAAACAGACTTCCATCTCAAAAAACACTCCCACAAAATGATTTATTTACATTCCTTAATTAATATCACTGTCAGTTACAGTCACTGGCATTGCTAACGGACATAATAATACAAGCGTGTCTCTTTAATTTAATTAACTATGCACCAAGGTATGATATTTGACCGATTCATGAAAGTTCAGTCAGCTAGTGAAATAAACTAATATATATGAATATTTCATTCTGTTTTTCGATTTATTTTATTTTCACTACGATTAATAATTCCTTACATGTATTTTACCATGTATCAAACTATATTATATTCAGCTAATCTCTTTTCTGTCAAATGATTTGCTTGATAACAAGGTTTATTCAAAAGTACTCCAATTTGTTTTTAAAATCATGTACACAGTAACGATGCTGTCAAACTGTTTTGATATTCAGTCTTACCCCAAGAGCAACTCGAGTAGCTTTCGGACGAGTTTATAAAAGACAGTAGTGTAGAAGTAGACTATCGGCTGTGTGGTATCAAATGGTTCCATTTAAGACGCACAAAGGCAATATTATCAACTAGATACACTGCATTTTCTATCCTGACTACTACATTCATTACAATATCAGTGTGTACAAACATATTACACCAAAAGCGATTTTGAATATTTCCTAGCCTCTGTTTCATTTCATATAAATTGGTTAGCCTGGGATGTCAACGCCAGTGATAGAAGGCTCACCAACAACACGAGAAGTCCGGACTCGATATCCAGTTGAATCACTCTTCAACCTTGCGCATTGAAATTAACTGATAATGTGTGAGGAAAAGATGGAAGAATCTATGTCAGGGCAGCAACCTCACCCTATAAAAATCATCACCATCGCTGCTGAAACTTCGGTGCTGAAAGCAATATATTCCAGCCGAAGAAATGGAAAAAAGAGTGTAAATAGTTTATAATTTTAAAAAAAATAGTGATCACGAAATAGAAAAACAGTTTTTTGTTCAGCGAAAAAATATTTCTTTTCAATGGTTTTATTATCAGGCTGTATGGTCGTATTTATATTAATGACGAACGCATAAAGTAGCACTGCAAGTTATAGAGTCAATATAAATATAACAGGAATAAAGGTGATTAGCATGATTTTTAAGAAGGTGGAGTTAAAATTTATAAGATTTATAAAAAAATTTTAAAGTGAATTGATATCAAGAGTTTAAAGTAAATCAGGTTTTGCTAAAAAGTGAAAGTGTGATGATGATAGCAAAAGAAGAGGCAAAGATGAACTAAAATGGGATGAATTTAACGGATAAAAATGAAAAGACCATTACTATGATCAAGGTAAAACATATAATGGTTAAGAATATGATTTCACTGTATGTAGAAACTATCCATTATTTATGTGATAACATTGATTTTAGAAACATAAACATTGAAATACCAAGTAATTACTTAAATGAGCTGTTATTGAGGTGTGTATTTCGTGTATAATTTAGATTCAATGATGTCACCTGTAATCAAGGGAATGGAGGCGTCATGTGGTCTGCCTTAGGACTTTTCGTAGCTGATGTCTTTGACAGATAGTTGATAAGTCTTCTGCTGTTTGATTCCAGATAAAGATGCATCAGCCAATTTTATAAACTACAGAGTAGCACAAAGTTCTGAACCCTAAATAAAGATCTGCGCATTGAACTACTGGTATACTGGTCAGCTTGTGATATCTGACAAGGGTCCAAACAGAAACGATATTAAAAATTCTATATAAAACTTCCTAATGAGCACACCTTCCAGTTTACAGAAAAGTGATAAATTACAGATTAGTGTAAGCTGAAGCATAAACTCGAGAACTTAGTAATGTTAGAACAACGTATTATTTCCTAGAGTCAAAAAAGGCAGGAGTAATCGAATACAACAATTATTATCTATAGTTTGGTTTGTAAGGATTAGTTATGTTTTACGAGTTGATCACGGACTGATATCAGCTAGAGAACCATTGAAAACCAAGGAGTACTGGACAGCTGCTGTTTCATCCTAGTTTTGGGAATCATCGGCAGTACGCACCCACTGGGATTCTAACCCAGGACCTTCCGGTTACAAGGCAAGCTCGTATACCATTCAGCCACTGGGACCCGATTCAATGGCTCATGAATTCTAACTTCTACCAATTCGTGATTTTAGCGCCACCCCAACTATTGTCGTTGGTGGAAATCCATCCACTCGTGACTTCTAATTGGACCTCACTGGTCACGACTTCTCACTAGAACTGCAGGAAGCTCCAACCTGTAGCAAGTCACTAGCGAGCATCAGAATAATTATCTATAGTTTGGTTTGTAAGGATTAGTTATGTTTTACGAGTTGATCACGGACTGATATCAGCTAGAGAACCATTGAAAACCAAGGAGTACTGGACAGCTGCTGTTTCATCCTAGTTTTGGGAATCATCGGCAGTACGCACCCACTGGGATTCGAACCCAGGACCTTCCGGTTACAAGGCAAGCTCGTATACCATTCAGCCACTGGGACCCGATTCAATGGCTCATGAATTCTAACTTCTACCAATTCGTGATTTTAGCGCCACCCCAACTATTGTCGTTGGTGGAAATCCATCCACTCGTGACTTCTAATTGGACCTCACTGGTCACGACTTCTCACTAGAACTGCAGGAAGCTCCAACCTGTAGCAAGTCACTAGCGAGCATCAGAATAATTATCTATAGTTTGGTTTGTAAGGATTAGTTATGTTTTACGAGTTGATCACGGACTGATATCAGCTAGAGAACCATTGAAAACCAAGGAGTACTGGACAGCTGCTGTTTCATCCTAGTTTTGGGAATCATCGGCAGTACGCACCCACTGGGATTCGAACCCAGGACCTTCCGGTTACAAGGCAAGCTCGTATACCATTCAGCCACTGGGACCCGATTCAATGGCTCATGAATTCTAACTTCTACCAATTCGTGATTTTAGCGCCACCCCAACTATTGTCGTTGGTGGAAATCCATCCACTCGTGACTTCTAATTGGACCTCACTGGTCACGACTTCTCACTAGAACTGCAGGAAGCTCCAACCTGTAGCAAGTCACTAGCGAGCATCAGAATAATTATCTATAGTTTGGTTTGTAAGGATTAGTTATGTTTTACGAGTTGATCACGGACTGATATCAGCTAGAGAACCATTGAAAACCAAGGAGTACTGGACAGCTGCTGTTTCATCCTAGTTTTGGGAATCATCGGCAGTACGCACCCACTGGGATTCGAACCCAGGACCTTCCGGTTACAAGGCAAGCTCGTATACCATTCAGCCACTGGGACCCGATTCAATGGCTCATGAATTCTAACTTCTACCAATTCGTGATTTTAGCGCCACCCCAACTATTGTCGTTGGTGGAAATCCATCCACTCGTGACTTCTAATTGGACCTCACTGGTCACGACTTCTCACTAGAACTGCAGGAAGCTCCAACCTGTAGCAAGTCACTAGCGAGCATCAGAATAATTATCTATAGTTTGGTTTGTAAGGATTAGTTATGTTTTACGAGTTGATCACGGACTGATATCAGCTAGAGAACCATTGAAAACCAAGGAGTACTGGACAGCTGCTGTTTCATCCTAGTTTTGGGAATCATCGGCAGTACGCACCCACTGGGATTCGAACCCAGGACCTTCCGGTTACAAGGCAAGCTCGTATACCATTCAGCCACTGGGACCCGATTCAATGGCTCATGAATTCTAACTTCTACCAATTCGTGATTTTAGCGCCACCCCAACTATTGTCGTTGGTGGAAATCCATCCACTCGTGACTTCTAATTGGACCTCACTGGTCACGACTTCTCACTAGAACTGCAGGAAGCTCCAACCTGTAGCAAGTCACTAGCGAGCATCAGAATAATTATCTATAGTTTGGTTTGTAAGGATTAGTTATGTTTTACGAGTTGATCACGGACTGATATCAGCTAGAGAACCATTGAAAACCAAGGAGTACTGGACAGCTGCTGTTTCATCCTAGTTTTGGGAATCATCGGCAGTACGCACCCACTGGGATTCGAACCCAGGACCTTCCGGTTACAAGGCAAGCTCGTATACCATTCAGCCACTGGGACCCGATTCAATGGCTCATGAATTCTAACTTCTACCAATTCGTGATTTTAGCGCCACCCCAACTATTGTCGTTGGTGGAAATCCATCCACTCGTGACTTCTAATTGGACCTCACTGGTCACGACTTCTCACTAGAACTGCAGGAAGCTCCAACCTGTAGCAAGTCACTAGCGAGCATCAGAATAATTATCTATAGTTTGGTTTGTAAGGATTAGTTATGTTTTACGAGTTGATCACGGACTGATATCAGCTAGAGAACCATTGAAAACCAAGGAGTACTGGACAGCTGCTGTTTCATCCTAGTTTTGGGAATCATCGGCAGTACGCACCCACTGGGATTCGAACCCAGGACCTTCCGGTTACAAGGCAAGCTCGTATACCATTCAGCCACTGGGACCCGATTCAATGGCTCATGAATTCTAACTTCTACCAATTCGTGATTTTAGCGCCACCCCAACTATTGTCGTTGGTGGAAATCCATCCACTCGTGACTTCTAATTGGACCTCACTGGTCACGACTTCTCACTAGAACTGCAGGAAGCTCCAACCTGTAGCAAGTCACTAGCGAGCATCAGAATAATTATCTATAGTTTGGTTTGTAAGGATTAGTTATGTTTTACGAGTTGATCACGGACTGATATCAGCTAGAGAACCATTGAAAACCAAGGAGTACTGGACAGCTGCTGTTTCATCCTAGTTTTGGGAATCATCGGCAGTACGCACCCACTGGGATTCGAACCCAGGACCTTCCGGTTACAAGGCAAGCTCGTATACCATTCAGCCACTGGGACCCGATTCAATGGCTCATGAATTCTAACTTCTACCAATTCGTGATTTTAGCGCCACCCCAACTATTGTCGTTGGTGGAAATCCATCCACTCGTGACTTCTAATTGGACCTCACTGGTCACGACTTCTCACTAGAACTGCAGGAAGCTCCAACCTGTAGCAAGTCACTAGCGAGCATCAGAATAATTATCTATAGTTTGGTTTGTAAGGATTAGTTATGTTTTACGAGTTGATCACGGACTGATATCAGCTAGAGAACCATTGAAAACCAAGGAGTACTGGACAGCTGCTGTTTCATCCTAGTTTTGGGAATCATCGGCAGTACGCACCCACTGGGATTCGAACCCAGGACCTTCCGGTTACAAGGCAAGCTCGTATACCATTCAGCCACTGGGACCCGATTCAATGGCTCATGAATTCTAACTTCTACCAATTCGTGATTTTAGCGCCACCCCAACTATTGTCGTTGGTGGAAATCCATCCACTCGTGACTTCTAATTGGACCTCACTGGTCACGACTTCTCACTAGAACTGCAGGAAGCTCCAACCTGTAGCAAGTCACTAGCGAGCATCAGAATAATTATCTATAGTTTGGTTTGTAAGGATTAGTTATGTTTTACGAGTTGATCACGGACTGATATCAGCTAGAGAACCATTGAAAACCAAGGAGTACTGGACAGCTGCTGTTTCATCCTAGTTTTGGGAATCATCGGCAGTACGCACCCACTGGGATTCGAACCCAGGACCTTCCGGTTACAAGGCAAGCTCGTATACCATTCAGCCACTGGGACCCGATT